AACCAGGAATCGAACCGTCTTGTAAAGAAATTATGAGGAAAAAGAGTGTGTGTGTGTGTGTGTGTGTGTGTGTGTGTGTATTTCAGTCCTTCTTTGGAATTGTTTCCTGTCAATCTGAAGGACCCTAATATTTCTTGTAGTGGAATACTCCTAGGAACAAATTCTCTCCGTTTTTATGATCTGAAAATATCTTTATTCTGCCTTTATTTTTTGAAGTCTGGTTTGGCTGGATATAGAATTCATGATTGACAGTTTTAAAAAATTATCTTTCAGCACTTTGAATATGACAGTTCCAATAGCCCCGATTATTTCTTATGAGAGGCCAACTGATAATGCTATTATTGTTTTTCCTGGATATAATGTTATTTTCCTCTGGATGGCTTTCAAAATTTTCTGTTTATCTTTGGGATTCAGAAGCTTATGATGTGGTTAGGACTAGTTTGCTTAGTGTTTATACTGTTTGAGGTTCGTTAAGCTTCTTATATCTGAGTTAATATTTTTCACAAAACTTGTGATTTTTGGGGGGGCACTTTTTTCTCTATATATCTTCTTCTGCTCCTTCTTTTTCCCTTCTTCTGTGATTTCAACTATACTTACGTTGGGTTCCTTGATTTTTGTCCCATAGATCTCTAAAACTGTTCATTTTAATTTGCTATTATGTTTCTCTTTGTTCTTTGAATTGGGTAATTTCTGTTTTCAAATTCCAAGATTTTTTCCTTATTTATCTTCATTTTGCTAGTGAGCCTATTGAATATATTTTTCAGTTATTTTACTTAATCTAGAAAAAATTCTTCTTAAATATTAAACCTAACCACTTCCTTTGACTGATTTGCATTCTCCTTTGGCCATACACTGAGAGCTGGGATTGATTCTTACAATGGAGACAGAGAGGATCTGAGTGGGGAAACTGTAAAGCTGCATGGTATTTTTTGAAAAAAGATCTCCCAACCTAGCTTTATTGGATGTTTCTCTCTATAATATCAAATACACACATATTCAAATAGAGTATACAAACACATGGTAGTAAAGCCTTTAGTATGCATTTAAAAAATTTTATTTTTTAATTATAGTTTACAGTCAATATTATTTTATATTAGTTTCAGGAGTACAGCGATTACACATTTTTTGATACTTATATCCCCTAAGGCATTATGCATATTCTCTGTGGTGTTCTGGAGGTAACTATTTGCATGTATGCTACTAGACTGAAAATTATTTGAAGGTCGAGAAATCTCAACAACCTAGGATAGTGCTTAAACATAATTGGCACTTTTTATATGAAAGGAGAGAATGTTATTCCATAATTTAAATAGCACTTCTTCCACTGAAAAATATTTATGTTTTCAACAATTTTAGGAAACTCTGTGTGGGTGTTTGGTTGAATTACATAGAGGGATTAGGTGTGGTTTATATTTTTTTAAATAAAAACTTTACCATGCTGGATATAATAACTGTGTACTTGAGTTTCTCAATTATTAAGTAAACTTAATAAAAGTACTTCCTTCATCAACATACACAAATATATTATCATTTCAGCAGCTCACATTACTGAGTTTCTATTAATAATAATCACAGTCAGACTTGGAAAGGGTTAAAGAGAATAACAGTTTATTATATTTTTATGATGTATATGATAACCCATAAGACTTTGGATTCTTTGGAATGCCAGATTAAAACTTTATAAAAACCAGAAATTTTAATGAGTTTATAATAGCAAGTAATTATCCATTCAAGAATTAGTTTCTTTTTGAACTTGATCAGAAGATTGGCCTAACTTCATATATTGCTAATTTTTGTAACAATACATTACTGGGATTTAGCTAAGACACAATAGTGTAAAATTAAAAAATGAGATATTTCATGGTCAGGAACCAGGTAGAAGCTCTAAAACCCGTAAGAAGGATGTTTACGGGTTAAGGAAGAACATTTTGTGTGGATTCATCCCACCCCATGGGAGAAGTGGGGGTGCATGCTCTTTTACTTGCTATCTAGTGAGAAGAGCTTTAAAGGTATCACTTAGAAACTTAAAGAATTCTCCTCATTTAGGGGGCACAGAGGATGAGGGTCTTAATCCCTGAGAAATGCAACAAGCAGAGAACTAGCTGGCTCCCTGCTCTGAAGAGCTATCCAAGAGGCGCTGTGCTGGAGTTTGCCTGTGCTCCAGTGTTTGTCAGGGTAAGGGAAGTGTGATCAGAGGCAGGTCCGGAGGAGGAGAGGGGCAGCCTGGAACTGTCAGATTCCTTCCCAGATAAACTGCCTAGAAGGGCAGTAAGGCTGCAACAGGGAGTCTTGGAGCTAGAGCTAGAAGGGATTCTGAAGCGAGACTGAAGAACCCACAAAAGCACATCTGAGAAAACAGTCAGCTTTAAACATGCGCAGACAGGCCTTTGGGCAGAACCATTTCAGCTGGCATCGCCTTGCCCCCCTTGTCGCAGTGTGCCTCTCTCCTGTGCCCACCTCGGAGGATGACAGCTGGGGACGCGGAGAAGAAGTCAGAGGAAGGAGACAAAGCTGATTTTACTCTTTCCCCAGAGGGGATTGGGAAAAAAGATTTGATTACCAAGTGAAGATTGGTTTGTTAACTAAAGTGACCCTAGGTCTTTCTGTTATTTAACATTGGCTAGAAGATCATGTGGGCCTGAAGTGGTCCTCCAACGGCAGGGGAATACTTTCCCCTGCATAAACTTTAAGAGGAAAATTGAGACAAAAATAAAGTTATATTTGATTATATCCAGCAGTTAGTGCTTATTCAGTGGACATAAAAATCTGTAAAAGTTTTCATTTTTGGTGTAGGAGATCAAAATTTATAGTAATGTATAAAGAATTGCTTTTATTCTTGAAAGTGCCTTGACTCATATGAGCATTACACACAGTATAAGTATATGCTCCTGGATTTTTTAATGTGGTCTCCTATTTATTGTTGGCACTTTACTTAATTGTAAAAGTGTCTTTATCCAAAAATAGAGGGTGTAACATTATTCTTCTAGTCTGCCTAGATTGTTTCATAAACATGATAGGTGACTAAACTCTTTTGAATGAGATTCAGTTATTTCACATTGGGGGTATTTTTACATTAGTTAACTAAAACATTCTTTTAAAAAATTATTAATTGATTTTAGAGGGGGAAGAGAGAGAGAGAAAACATTGATTTGTTCTACTTTATGTATTCCTTGGTTGATTCTTGTATGTGCCTTGACTGGGGATCAAACCTGCAACCTTGGCATATAAGGATGATGCTCTAACTGAGCTACGCAGCCAGGGCCTAAAAAATTCTTTTATCTCCTTAAGAAGATCCAAGCTGAACACCTCTGCACATTTGAGGCTAGGACTCTGCTAACTCATCTGGCTAGTCACCTCTCTCTACTGTTCACTTCTGAATCCCCACAGACCCCTACCACTAACACCTAAGTCAGGATTACATTGTTTGTACAGTCTCTTCATTGTGTTTTGTTTTAAGGTCACAGTCTCACTCCTTTCCAGTAAGGGAAGAAAGGAAATGGAAATATAGCTGATTTAAATATATAGAATTTTTTTAAAAAATTAAAATGTAAGAAGACAAAGAAATAAATGAAATTGTTAGTCTGGTTAAGTTTCATTTGGACCCTGTTATTAAGAGTTGACCATTTGTATAGAGTCTGGATTTCCTTTGCTGAGGAAATATAGTAATATACTAGTAGACTTTCAGAGCTTGATGGAGATCTATATAGATCATCTGTTTCATCTTATGAGACAGATGATTTGTTGTTAAAATTCTAAATTAAGTGCTTCTTTGCTAGATAATGATGTATAGGTGCGTTTTCTCTAATCCTTAGTAATTCTGGAACCGTGTATATGTTTGATTCTCTTTTGAGATAAGAAAACAGACTCAGGGGAAGTGATTTGCCCAAGGATATATTATAGTTACAGAGTTGGGAGATTTGGACCCAGATCCATGTTCCCTTAGACCCCATTAGTTTATTATACTTTTAAAGAAGAATTTACAGACATTATATCTCATGAGAACACTCATTTCTTTGACACAAAATTATGATAATTTGTACTCAGTATTTGTTTCTATTTTCATTTTATTTATTTATTTGGGTTTTCATAAAATCAGGACAGGAAATTATGACTTCTGGTTCTTAATTTTTTTTTTTATGGTGAAAGATACCATACTTTCAGAAAGAAGATAAAATGTATGTATGGTTTTATTAATAATGTGAGTGCCCATTAACTATTGCCCAGGTCAAGAAATAGTCTACCTGTGTATGATTTGATTCCCTTAGCAAATGAACTAAGCCCAGACTGTAAGCAAATGTTCATTTCATTTCTTTTTTAAGATTTTATTTATTTATTTTTAGAGAGAGGGGAAGGGAGGGAGAGAGGGAGAGAAACATTAATCAGTTGCTTACTGCCCCCAGCTGGGAGCTGGCCCACAACCCAGGCATGTGCCCTGACCGGGAACTAAACCAGTGACTTTTCATTTTGCAGGCTGGTGCTCAAGTCCACTGAGCCACACCAACCAGGGCCAAAATTTCATGTCTCAACCCCTAGATCCAAATGGTTATAATTCCTTTTTCTCCTACCAGTGGTTAACCACTATCCTTACTTCAGTGTTCATAATTTCTTTACAATTTAACTACTTAAGGTATTTTTTTTCAGTGATTTCTTTTTTCATACAGCAGTTGCTTAAAGCCATAGAACTCAGGGTAGAGATTAATAGTGTTTGAGTCATAGAATGTTTGATTTATTTAAGAATATAAACTTTCCAAGAATTAGATTCAACACAAATAATTGCTATGCTAATTACAGTTAGTATCGGCCAGTTCTTTGAGCTATGATTCATATTTGTTACATACTCATATTTGTTGGAAAAGCTTATTCCAACTTTCCCCCCTTCACTGGTCTGTGTAATACCTTTTCTGCATTAATATTTTCCTAAATATGCATTATACCTTGTGGAATAAGTGCAAATACAATTTACCATTGTTGTAATGTCCTTCTTTTCCTTTTCTTTACAGCATGGGTAGGTTCTCTCTCCATGGGGATGGTTTTCTTTTGCTGCCCAATAGCCAGTGTCTTCACAGACATGTTTGGTTGTCGGAAAACAGCTATCGCGGGTGCCGCTGTTGGATTCATTGGGCTCATGTCCAGTTCTTTTGTAAGGTAAGGCCTTGGTTTCTTTACATTGCATTTCAAGAAATGTTAGATACCTTAAAGTTTTCCTTTCAGAAACTTTGCTGTTTACAAGGAAAAATCCTCCTTTCATTGCTTAAACTATAAGCAACATAACGTACATGTTGTTTTCCATAGCAGCAAATCAGAGCTTGAGAAATTGAATGTTTCTGCTTGCAGCACCTAAGAGTTAGATGTCAGTCAGGATATACGTGGTCCCTAGAGCAAGAAAAATGTTTCTCCTTTTCTTATTTTCTATTCACATAAAAATCCTAAAAGAAGTCCCAACAGTGAGTTGTCTAAAGCAATAAATTAGTTTAAGGTCAGCTTAGTCTGAGGCCCAACAGGTACAATAAGTGGTATGTTGAAGCATTTGTTCATAGGCTCATTGTGAAGTATTTTTATTAATGAAAACAGAGTTTTGCTCTTTATTCAACCTAGGTAGAGAATTCCTGTGTGCATTTTTTAAAAGAGAACATGCTAAAATTTAAAAAGGTTATGGCAAAATGAAGTGGTCAAAGGCAGCTTAAAATAAAAAATACCAATACACTTTTCCCGTGTCTGTTAAAAGATGTGCACTGAAGAGGAACTAACTGCAAAGAGCTGATGGGCAAATTGCTGTATGAAGCACATTCCCTCCAATTCCAGCTCTACTAGTAAATCCCTTTGCTTCGTCAGGATAATCCTTAGTTAGAGAAACACTGGTGTAATATGTTGCTCTGGCTAACAGGAGGTGATTAATAACTAAACCTCTTAAAATGATACCCATCTTGCATCTTCTTTAGTGGTGTATCTTAATTTCTTGCCTCTTTCCCTTCCCTACCTGTCTTCATGCACTAGTTGAAAAGTATCATTGAGGTTATTAGAAAAACACACACACTTACATTTCTTGCCCTGATTATTTTTAAATATTCTGGGTTTAATCAACAGAATCTTTGGTTTACTAAGTTTATCTCCACCCCACCTACACCCTTTCCTCAACTGTAAGATGAGCCTTTCTTTTTTACCTAACTTAGAAATTTTATTTGGAGTATAAAAATATATTTTTTTTGTCTTGATAGAAAATATATATTCCATCTTTGAACAACAAACAAAGCTCAAAGTGAATAGAGAAAGTAAGTAACAAACATCAGAGGGGAAATAAACAAAACAGAATCTAAAGACAATACACAGAATCAGTGAAACCAAGAGCAGGTTCTTTAAAAAGATAAACAAGACTGATCGAGAAAAAAAAGAGAGAGGACCCAAGTAAATAAAATTAGAAGTGATAAAATAGCAACAACTGACACCACAGAAATACAAAGGATTATAATAAAATACTATTGGGTTGGCCAAAATGTTTGTTTAGTTTGTTTCATAAAATAAAAGACACTTTTTTCATTTTCACCAATAACTGTTGATTTGGACATTTTGAGTATGTCAGCTATCTCCTGCATGGCATAATGTTGACTGTTCTCAGTTAATGTCTCTTATTTGATCACTATCAACTTCAACTGATCTACCCAACCATGGAGCATCGTCCAGTGTGAAATCTCTAGCACAAAACTTCGCAAACGCCTTACGAAGGCATTTGATCAGTTGTGGCACCTTCTCCATACACTGAGTCAATCTCTATTTGTATTTCAGTTGCATTTTTACCTTTCTTGAAATAATAAAGCATAATATGCTGAAAATGTTGCTTATTTTTTTCCACCTTCAATATTAAAAATTCAGTTTTTTTTAAATGTATACTGATATCAAAGCTGTCACAATACAGTTTAACAAAATTCTTTTGAATGAATTTAAAAACAACTAAATGCTACTAGAGCCATCTTATGAAAAGAAACAAACAAATTTTTGGCCAACCCAATACAAGTAATCATATGCTAACAAGTTAAATAATCTGGAAGAAATTAAAAATATATATATAGAGAGAGAGAGTACATCGTTAAAGTGCCTTTAGGATTTTTTTCCTTCTAAAGTCATCTTTTAAAAAAACAAAAACCAGTTTTGTTTGAAATAAGATTGTGTTTGGTTAATTTTGTGAGATCATTTACTTTTAGTTCTTTTTTTTAGCAGTAATACAACATTATGTTATTACCAACTCGTCAGATACCTGTTTGGATCTGGAAGTTTCCAGGTACTCCTTGTCAGTACCTGTGGCCCCAGCACTTACAGAACTAGGCTTCAGTGGAGAGAGGACCAAGAGTAGAAAACCCCTGTAATTTACTACTTCTCTTGGTAGACAAAACACATATGCGGACCTACTTACAGCAGACTGTTTTTCAAACCTTTTTGGTGATTGAGAAATAAAAATTATGAAATATGTTTTATATTGTGACTCAGTTTTCTCTGTGTATTCTCTCCCTTAATTGAAACACTGTATCTTGAAACCATATTTACCTTAATACATATCAAGTTCTCATATTTTCTGTTTAGTTTCACTATTTAACCCACTGATCAAAAGCTATCAAACGTTTAGAGCAATATACAGGAGTAAGGGGAGATGTGGTGTGAATTCCAGATGTCGAACAATGGACCCACTTTTTCTATAGTCCAAGTTCTGCCTTCCTAGGAAAGCCTCCAATGATCCCAGGCCACCTCTGTGTCCCTTCTCCGAATCCTTTTTACACTCATGACTGGTATCTTACTAATTTATACTGCACTTATTCAGTTGTCAAACTTCAACAATTTGAACCATTTGTTACTGAGGTGGATACTTAGAAATAAGTGAAAAAAGGTTCAGGGGCAGTGAACATGCCATCACAGAGCTTATGTGCTTTCCTGCATGGGAGAGATGTGAAGCTCATCCCACGCAGCACTTTTTTGAAGTGGTGGCAAAAGACTGTTTTCAGTTTCTACCTGTGACTCCCTGGCTTTCCAGCTGACAGCTCTACAGGACTGTGGTTTGCTTGTACAGACCCGGATGTTCATAATGATACTCTGCTGTCAGTACCACCTTTCATACACGCTTTGGAGAAGGCAGAGAAATGTGTAATAGAGTTAGATTTTTCCTTTAAAATTAGAGAAAAATAAAATTAGAAATAATAATATTAAAAATAAGTTAGTGCCTTCGGAAGTAAGCTGCAATTATCTGAAAAACTACTTTTGTGGAAAAACTGATGCAGAATAAATGAATTATTATCTGTAATTGTTCTGTATTATGTGGGGTAGATGTCTTGTTTTACTAACCAGACTATGAGTAGGGCATATTCACATTTTAAATAATTTTTTTTACCAAGTACCTGGAACACAGTAGCTGCTGAATATCTGTCTATTGAATGAGGAGCGGAGATTCAGTACTGAGGGATCAGAGTGACGTAAAGATGATTTGGGAGTGGCTCCCGAAAGGTGGTGCTGGCTGCGAATAATAGGGGGGAAGGGTGTCTGAGAGGGTTGCAAACATGCATTAATTTTTATCAGATTCCAGAGGTTTTGTGATTACCTCAGCATATTCCAGACTAGTAGTATTTAATTATTAACCATCTTTATCTTAGTTTCTAATAAATAGTTTGCCTTTACTACTTGATAAATAGCCTTTTGAATTGGATTTTTAAAAAAAAAAACTTTTATTTTACTTAACTTAATTGTTTCAAAGAATGTAATGATATGATTCCTTATTTTCAGAAGAGATGTGTAATTAAGTAACTTGGTTCAACTATAAAATTCTTAACCCTTTATGATTGTTTTGAGATGCACATGGCCTTAAAGCTTACACACTGGGATCACTAATGAGCATGCTTCGTTTAGTCTTTCTGCAGTTAGAACATGATTTCTTGTTACATTGCACAACACTGAGAACAGTGCAATACAGGGCGAAGGTTGGTCTGCAGGCCCTAGGCCAGCAAAAATGAGACACTCCTGCTCCTCTGTGGAAGTGTTTCTGACATAACTTTGGAGAAGAAATACAAAACGCAGCCAACCTTTTCTTTGACTAGGTTGCTTAGAAAGTGCCTGGGAAAACTCCATCAAATAATGAGTTTCATAGTTAAATTATAATTTTTTAAACTTTTATTGAGACTTATTTCTTTGTTTGCTAGTTGAATCCCCGTCCGTTTTACTGAGGCCCTTCCTGGCCCTGTCGGCCCTGTCCTCTGTGAGCAGTGGCGCGCACGACAGCTTTTGCCCAGGGCTGCCTGGTGCGCCAGAAATCCATGGAAAAGGAAGCAGGAACAAAATCACCGATGACCTTAGCGGTCATTTTTCACTCACTCAAGGCATTTGCGTTACCCATTCAGATTAAATTAAAATATTTTTAGTGCTATGTTCTTGGTTTATTAAGTTTTTCATCTGTGTTTAGTTAAATTTAATTTGTGGAAAATACACTGATTAACTAAAAACCCACTTTTATGCTAAGGTTTTATTCTACTAAGCACGATAAAAATAATGAAAGCTGCTTTCCATCTTTTTCATCTTTACACAGTTCCATCGAACTTCTGTACCTTACCTATGGAATCATATTTGCCTGTGGCTGCTCCTTTGCATACCAGCCTTCATTGGTCATTTTGGGACAGTATTTCAAGAAGCGCCTTGGACTGGTGAATGGCATTGTCACTTCCGGCAGCAGCATCTTCACAATTCTGCTGCCTTTGCTTTTAAGGGTTCTGATCGACAATGTGGGCCTCTTTTATACACTGAGGGTCCTCTGCATCTTCATATTTGTTATCTTTCTGTCTGCCTTTACTTACCGACCTCTTGCTTCCAATGTCAGAGAGAAAGAGAGTGGAATCAAAGGAGGCAACAGATTCTCCCTCTTTTCCAGGAGAAAGTTCAGTCCTCCAAAAAAAATTTTCAATTTTGCCATCTTCAAGGTGACAGCTTACGCAGTGTGGGCAGTTGGAATGCCACTTGCACTTTTTGGATACTTTGTGCCTTATGTTCACTTGGTGAGTATGATTCCTCCGCTTTGCTGCTAACAGATATTATTTCATACAGGAAAACTTAGAACAGCAAGATAGATCAGGTTGAAGTTGGCCTTAAACATTATACTGATTGCAATTCAGGGACTCCTGATGTTCAAGGTATTTTAAGACAAGGTCAAAACATCCATCAGATTATTAAACAGAGGAAATGTTTAATGGTATGCTTTGGTATTTTAAAAGTCACCAAACCTAAACAAGTAAGAACAACTGTTAAAAGTGGAATAAATGGCATCAGTATGAAAAACGGGAGGTCGTTGTTGTTTCCAGTGGCTTACAAATTATAATCAGGGACAAAGATGGTGCAGCATCAATATATTCTTTTTCAATAAAAGGGCACAGAAATTAGGCAGATATGGCCTTGACACAAAGAGGCATTACATTCACTTGAGGGATTCTTCTGGTAAAATGGGAATTCTATTCAGGGGATTAATTATTTGAGAAATGTCTGTAAGTTCCCAATGAAGGGAGAAGGAAGGGTTTCATAGGAAATTAGGATTTTAAGTGCTCAAGCAATTTATGTTGTTTATCTGTATTTAAAAGGTGACATCAGCCTCTTTATACTGAACCAAGAACAAGGAGTGTTTAACATATTGGCCCCTGACAGAATTTGCTCAAAACAGCTTATTATGTTTTTTCTTTTTTTATTACTGTTGTGGCTGAAAATGTATTTACAGTTCAACATAGTTGATAAACAAAAATGATATTAAGATAAATTTTTCTTTTGTATGCATACTGTGTATCTTGAACCAAAGAACCTAGGAACCTGGATCTTTTCTAGCTTTTAGTCTACTTTTGGATGTTCATGCAATTTTTCTCCAGTTAAAAGTTTTGTGAAGTTTGTAAAACAGTTCAAGAACTTACTGGGCTCAAGAGGTCAGCTGGTAAACTACCTCTTCAACACTGTGGCTGCCTGTGCCCAGTTCAGAAAGGAATTAGGTTAAGAAGACATAAAGAGCGATGGCAGGCTTGTCCTGGATCCAAGAATGATTTTGATTTCTCAGTTCTCCTTATTCTCTTTTTGCCAGAGGTGTTAGGGAAGCCTCTGGGATGACCAATGGGGAGACAAACAAGAAGGACTAGTTTTTAGTGCTCTGAGCCACTTGGCATTTTGCAAAGACTGAGGTACTAGGTAAAATGACCTGGTATATATCACCTGTCACATACACAGTATGTGGCTACAGCTTGATCTAACAATCCATTTCACACTTTTTAGGAAAACATATCTAAACCATTGGAAACTATTTTTGGCTGGACTAAAGATCCATTGCAGAAGGGCCACCTTTACCAAACTACCTCTCCCATAGCTTCTGTAGTTAAGATAACATTTGTTATGTTCTTTTCAAAGATGAATAGATTTTTAAAAAATTCTCTGGTCCTACAAGGTGAACATACACAGAGATATCAGTCTCTCAGCTTTGCTAATACCAGACATTTACCACAGTATAAGTAGTAGGTGACTGTCTAGTTATTTTGGGCAATATATTTATAATTTGTAAATTAACATATAATATTTCCTTTGCCCTTCACAATAAATCTGTGAAGTAGGCAAAATAAGTAATGTTAGTGTATGTTTTACAGACTGGAAAACAGATCCATCACTACCAAAGATCTTCCCAAGAATCTCATAACAACAGAGCAGGGGTTGGTGCCCTTCCACTGTGCTTACCTGGTAGCAAACCTAGTCTAACCTTACGTCATAGGTTATCGGGCACCTCCCCAGGTATCCCACCAGATGTGCCCATCTTATTGGAGGGGAGGGGGATGAGCATGCATAAAAAAATTTAATAGGTATGGTATCATCCTTTTCTTAAAGTAAATTAAATTTCCTAGTGAATGATGAGTGACACAGTGTTATAGATACTATCATTATCAGGAGGCTATAAATCAGATAGTACAAAGAACAATAAGGTCTCTGTTAACTCTGATAACAAACCAGGCCTTTTTCCTGCTTTTCCTCCATTAGGCATGTTTTCTTACAAAAAGGTGTTCGTATTTAGGATTTTATCTTCATCAAACTGTTACGGCACTGAAAGCCATGTTGGAAACACCAGAGAGTTAAATGCCACGTAGGATGTTTAAATCTTGTGTGATGGGTGCACTGAGTTTGTTACTGTTTTGTAATTGAAGGTTTGGATTAGGACACTTAATCTAGACTTCTTGAAATGGGACACCATCTTCTTCGTCAGAGGGGCAAAAGGTGTCTCACATCTTTCCAAAGACTACTAGATGATGTTCAATCCATAGTAAACCTTTTATTGAGTGTTGAAGGACATAGACGTGTAAGGCATAAGAACTTGACATCTATCCAGTCCTGGTGTAAAAATGAGAGTTAAGACAATGTTGCCAATTGAGTAGTTTTAAGGGGGCAGGGGACTGTAAAAGTCAAAGGCAAAAGATGATACCCATTTGGAAAAGTGGTTAGTAAAAATTTCATAGGGTTTGAATTTGGCCTTAAGCATGAGATTTGGTGTTAAAACTAGATCACTAATCAACAAGGGGACTAATTTATCTATCTAGATCTTTCTGAAAGATTCAGAATAAAATGCTCTTGTGGTTATGTTAAAAATCCTAAGATCTGTTTATTAAACTATATATAATCTCTTGAGAGGGAATATGTATGCTTTATGGCAGTCTTGCTCTCAAAGCAAGGTTGGGGTTTTTATCATTTAGTAGTTCACTTTTAAAAATGAAGAGTCATCCTTGGCTGGTGTGGCTCAGTTGGCTGGGTGTCATCCAGCAAACTGAAAGGTTGCTGGTTTGATTCCCAGTCAGGACACATACATGGGTTGCTGATTCGATCCATAGCTGGGGCATGTACGAGGGACAACCGATGTTTCTCGTTCACATTGATATTTCTCTTTCTCTCTTTCTCCCTCCCTTACTGTCTTTCTAAAATTAAAAAAAAAAAAGAAGAAGAAGAAGAAGAATCATATTGCTCCTTGGAAGCTGTCCAATTATCTCTTTTAGGCCTACCCATTAATAATCCCCATTGTAAGGTCAATTTAGGTGAGACCTACCTTTCTAAATAACCATTTCTGGTAGCAGCTGCTTCTGTTTTTATGAGGTGCTCCTTTTGCCTGAGAGTTTTGTTTTGTTTTCTGGGTTACGTTTTTATGGCTTGTCTTCATCCAGTTTTTCTTCATTAGCTTCTCTTAGTTTTCCTCCTTCGTCTCTGTCACTGCTTCTTAGTTTCTTGGCTGGCTCCTTCTTTTTTGCCCTGATCCTTGAATATCAGCTTGCCCCTCGAACTTTCTGTTCCGTTGGTGGTTTCATATAAGCAATTTATTTTCTTGGCATTTTAATCTTTAACATTCTTTGCTTTGATACTATAATACTTTTTCCACACTTTGTATTTAGAGGACATTAAACACATAGTCATTAAACGTACCACATGTATATATAATGACATTCATAGTCATTAAACACATCACAAATACCATGGTACCTCAGCACTCATCGTTAATTAGTTCAGGAACCCGTAACAAGTTGCCAAAACCAATGAGTACCAAACGATGAAGCCTTTTTTCTTGTGGGGCAGTGTTGTGGCTCATAAAAGTTATAGCAAATGTGACAAGCTCTGAGCAAGCACCAAATGCTGAAACATTTTCTTCTCGTCAAAATGTGGAAAGTACAAGGTTTGATGAGTTCTGAAGCCGGCGAGTACGGAGGTATGACTGTAAGCTCAAACTCAGTGGACCTCACAATAATTGAATAACACTAATGCCACCTGTTGATGGAGAAAGGCGTTGACGTGTTTTGCTTTGCATCAAGGCTTTACATGCATATGTTGAAATTATAACCTGATAAATAGAGGAAATTTCTTTGTCTCTGTCATAATTGTAAGTATTCGGAAGGAGGGAAAAGGAACTCCTGGTGGCCATCCTCATTAACAAGAAAAGCTAGACAATTGGTGTCTGCCGTACTGTGTAGCAACTGAGAGTCTCAAAGAGCCGTGGGTGGTATGTATAAGAACGGGATGAGGATGCAGGAGCCACAGACCAACTACAGGTCTGCATAGCTTTGGTATAGCACCGACCACAGGGCAGGCAGTGCTGATGTAACTTTCCTCAGTGGTTTCTCAATGCTCCGTCCTCAATATGAGGATGATGATTTAGTTTTAATTGCTTTCCATGTCCCCACCACTACTAACCTTTGAAATGGCTATTTGTTACCTGTATTATTCTTTGACTCAATAACATATGATAGTTGGGTGGCTTTAGTTTTTAAGTTTTAAACCCAGGTAGTTCCCTATCAAAGAGAAGATGACTGACCGTTGAAATCTGCAGTATGGATGGATTAGCCTGTTTTCAAAAAACTTCCGATAGGCTATGCATCAGTTTTATAGTAGAAGGTAATTGACTGTTCTCAAATAAACTTTGAGCTGATAGAAGGATCTCATTTGCCTGATGTTGTGAATAAAGACAGAGTCATGTGCCTGCCGACAAGGCAGTTGAGTGGACAACAAGACCAGTTGTAATCGGGAACAAACAAGTTGTATTTTTAAATTAGAAATGAAAATTTGAGATGTACAGGCCAATAAGTTGGGCATGTAGTGCCTCAAGAAATATTTTATAGCTTTGATTAGTGCCAAGTGCTCTCCTGGGTCAATAATGGAATGTAGCTGTTAGGCCTCACTAGCTAGGGCCCCTCCGTCCATGTTGTGGTCCTAGCAGGAATGCTGCTCCAAGCCCAGAGCTCTGGGCTTACAGGAATGACATACACGCCTTTATCTCTTTGTGGCTTCCTCAGAGGGAGATTCAGGGAACACTGGTCCAGACTCTATCACGTGTCAAGCATTTTCACAGACTCTCACGTGACCATCACAAGAACGAGAGTAATAAGTGTAAGAAATAACTACATATTTAGATCTAAGGAAATGACTGACTCTGTTAAACAATGCTTGTTCCAAGGTCACTCACTGAGTTATGCTCAGAGCTGGAATTTAAACACAGGTTCCACCCAGA